TATAACTGCGATAAAATTTTTCTAAACATAAGAAATTCATCTTTTAGGCTATTGAATGTGATAGAATGATTTACTTTGAAAACTTATTAACTACACTTAATTTCAAAAAAAAAAAAAAAAAAAAAAAAAACGCTGTTGTATGTAATGAAAGTAATATATAATTTAACTATGGCCAACAGCTTAATGTCTGCATACATATCCTTTGGAGGAAAAGAGTTTGGTATATGTACTTTTAAAATACAAAAGATCTGCATTTTTTTTTAGTTAAAATACTGCAATTATTGGTTAGAAGTTAGTTCAAGAAGGACAAAATTAAAGATAGATTGAATTAGTTTCAATATATTTTTCATCGTTTTTTACTCTTTATATTTAATTATGAATAATATAGAGTTCAGCATAACCAAGTGTTCAGAATGCTTAACTGAATTCAAATCTGAATTCTATTTTAAGATCTTGTCAAATCAATTTGAAACATAATTCACATCTTCTCAAATAACAAAGGTATAGAAAATTTTTAATAGAAAACGATAAAAATATCAATATCAAAACTGACATCTGATTCATAAAAAAGAATAACTTATTATGACAATAAAGAAAATTTACTGACTGAAGCAAAAACAATTCTATAAGCTTCATTAAAATTTCGCCACAGTTTATATCAAGCTGTGTATGTAAGCATTTTGCAAAATGAGAGACGCGAAGAATCTATTCTAATTTTAACATATATACAGTACGTATATTACTAGTAATATGATTATTTTCCTAAAGGGGGGACTGAAAAATATCTTCAAATTAATCATTCATAAAAAGTACAAGCCTTACAGCATGAAAGCTGTAAATTAATTTTATACTTTGAGGAATAAAATTACTAGTAATATGATTATTTTCCTAAAGGGGGGACTGAAAAATATCTTCAAATTAATCATTCATAAAAAGTACAAGCCTTACAGCATGAAAGCTGTAAATTAATTTTATACTTTGAGGAATAAAAAACAATCATTATCGAGCAGAATATTATAACGTTGATAATAGCGCAATCCATCGGATAAAAACGTAAAAATTTCTTCATCCGTTAGGAAGCTTAGCCGCCTGGCGACTCAATAAATGTTTACATTCGGAACTGCTCTGATGCAGCGCCATCTAGTGATCGCAACATTTTTAGACCCGTTTTTCTACTAGGCAGTTTCACCTCCTTCATTATACTCTGTAGCTAAACTAAACTTTTAATTAAATCAGAAGTCAAAAAAAAAAAAAAAAAAAAAAAAAAAAAAAAAAACTTTTATATTTGCAAATTTTCACAGGACTAGTTTGTATGGTTTTATCGAACCATCATCCTGAACTGCCAAAGCGCAAATGAAACGAAATAAGATAAGAATAGCTGGACAGGAGTTGCGAATTGTGCCAGATTATATGCTCTTTCCAAAATTCATAAAAGGGCCATTCCTTTCCGCCCTGTTGTATCAAATTTAGGCACTGCCCCGTACCTGGTAGCTAAATGTTTAGTTTCTAAATTTTCAACTCTGTTAGTTAATAACATTTAAACCATAAAAAATTCAATAGAGTTTGTAAAATAAGTTAAAAGCATTTCTCCTGGAAATTTACTCATGGTTTCTTTTTGATGTAAAATCGTTATTCACCAGTCTTCCAGTGGAAGGTGCATTAAGATATCTAGAAAGCAGACTTCGTGAATTTCATTTCTCTTGCATTGAAGTTGAGGATCTAATTTCCCTCACTCAATTCTGAAAAAACACATTTTGTTTTCCAAAATAAATATTCCAATTAGGGATTAGCCATGGGAAGCCCCCTCAGTCCTATTCCTGGTTGATATCTACGTGCATTATTATGAATCAAAATTATTTGAAACTTTAAACTTCCCGGTATGGTTCCGCTACGTAGACGATACCTATTATACGGTAATAAGGATGATTTAAATAAAGTTCTTTCAACAAATGAATTCCATTGATCCTGCTATTCAGTTCACTTTTGAACTTGAGACATGGAATTCTCTTCCGTTCCTCGACAATTTGGTCACAAGTAAAACATCCAATTTCAGTACTACGGTTTACTGTAAACCTTCATCGGTTTGCCTTCCACCACTCTTCAAATCATGTCATCCGACTAAATAAAAGTTAGCTTCATTTTATTCCTATATTTTACGTGCACTTCAAGTTTGCTCCACCAAACTGGCTCTTGATCAAGAACTAAATTATTTAAAAGCAGTAGGTATTGACAGGGGCTTTTGACCCAACATTACTAATCAAGCAGTTAAAAAATTCTCATCTCGACACACCAAAAAACACACTCTTGTTTCAGAAGATTATAAGCATCATGTTGTTATTCATTTCTTTCCATCAGTTACTTATAGAACTACACTATTTTACAGAAGTTTAACTTTCGGTTCGTTCATTCTATCAATAAAATTCCGAATTCCGTACTCAAGAAGCCCATTCCGGATGTAAATTCCTAGGCTATTTATAGGATTCCTTTCCAATGTTGTTTAATTTACATTGGTCAAAATAAGAGAGCCTTAAAATTTCGCATTAAGGAACATGATGCATATGTTAGAAAAAAGGAAACACAGAAATCATCTGTTGCCCAGCGTTGTTAGTCCGAAATCACACTTTCAATTTTTTTGCAGCCAAAATTATTCAAGAAAGATCTTCCATTGGTGAATTAGATTTTCTAGAGGCGTTTCACATTCAAAAAAATCTTTCTGTTCAAGTTAACGACCCTAATTCCAATCCCTCTTTGCCTTCAGCCTTTAAGGAAATTATGTTTAATTCTCGTTTCATCAATAGATAGCTTAATTCCTATCCACACATCTTATCTAATACATCTTATCTCGTTCATTTGCGCTTTGGCAGCTGAGGATCCAAACTAGTCCTCTGGAAATTTGCAAATATAACGCTGGTTTTTGCTGTTTGACTTATAAATTAATACTTGTTCAGCGTGTTATTTTATCTTAATTAAACTTTTAATACCACTAAAAGGAAAAACTTTTCAAAGAGATTTCTTTAGATAATAAAAATCAGAGCCTTAATCAGTTAAAAACTGAAAACCTATTAGAAATAAAAATTGAAAAAAAAAAAAAGAGCTCGGACCACTCATTTTTTTAGTGTTGTTTAAATGACAGTTCGGTTTAAAGTATATTGTTTCTTATTTGTATTTGCTTTTGAATTTCGGATTTGCATGTAATGAATTTAGACCAATTAGGTTTTTATGAATGGTCATTTTACATAATGTAAATTTTATGGTTTTCTGTTTTTTTTTAATTCAATTTAGCACAATTTATGTTTTATTCTTTTTTATGTTTTTACTTTATTATTCTTTTTTATGTTTTTGCAACATTTATATTTTATTCTTTTTTCCAAATGTTTCAAAGTCGTGTGGGGAAAATCGTGGTACATTTGAGATTCGTTTTTTCGGTTTTATATGAATTTTAATGTCTGAAATGAAAATTTAATTGATTCTTTTATGTTTTTTTATCTCAAATGAACCAGAAGAATGAAACACGTTTTCGAAACATATTAATCGACTTTTATAAAACTTTAATTCATTTTGCCCTGATAAGTTCTAAATTGGCGATTCAGTAAAAGGAGATTAATTTTTATATTTTTATACTATTCTGTTGTACATTTTTCCCCTTTTGCACTTTTACTTTTCGAGTTTGTACTACTATGAATTCTTACTTTAATTTTGATTTGTTTAGACGCTGTGTTAAACCTTTTATACATGGTTTCAATTATTAATATTGTTGAGGAATAATTATAATCTCCTCAACTTTGCTTTGATTCCAATTTACTTCTTACTTTAAATGCTTTACGTTTATATATATATATATCATGCCATATTTATTCTCAGTGCTTAAGCAGTTTCTTCTGTACATTGTAAATAAGTACATGCTATTCTTTGAATAGCAGAAATCTAATTAAATCTGCAAATTCTAGAATGCAGATAAACTTATTGAGTAAGAAATTTACATGAAGAGAAAGAAAATTGTTCTTCAAAAGTATGAACATTGCTGCTGCATTAACAAGTTAGGAGATAAACCAGAGATTAGTTGGAACATTGGTATTTTCCCCCTTGAAACAAATTTCTTAGTGCGAGAAAGATGCTAATGATAAGGAAACTGATATAAATTAACTAAAATGTCTGGAAAACTTTCAAATTAAAAAGACACACAGGTATTTTGTTAGGTGTGGTTGCTACAGTATATTAACTGAGTTACAACTTCAGTAACTGTACACGAAGCTACGAAACTAACTGGATCAGACAGTCAAAGCATAACGTTTAACACTTAGCAACCATGCCACTGTCAGGCGTTAAGGTCTGTTCTGATCAATGGTACTCTCTCCCTTTCTCTCTTGGCAAGCAGCAGTGGCAATAGCCAGGCTGCTGTTACGAAATCATGCTGAGTATGATTTTACTTCTCATTTTAACCTACGCCACTTGGCATAAAATTTGGCTGCTATTTACTAAAGCTCTAGACTGAGCAAGTACATAGCAACTAAAGAAGCTACATAAAGCTAACTGTTAGTAAAACTTAATAATGTGTCACTTTTTTTCTTTAAAGTATGAGGTACTATTTTAAGAATAAAATATAAATGGTTCAGGAAATTTTGTAATTTAATTCTGTTTCGTTATAAGTTTTAGAAAGTTTATTTTATTCTCGAATTTCTTTTATAATATAATTATGTTAAATATTATATTATGTTTAATAATAACGTTTGTTACAGATATATTTTATTCTTATAATGGCACTATAAAAGTTCAAGCATAAATAATTTCTTTAATTTATTCAATCGCCATTTGCTGATAAGCCCTTACTTAATTTTTCTTTAAAAGTGCTTAATTTCTATGTGCAGAAATATGTACGATCCCTGTTTTATGGCATATAAATCATTTGGGATAATTATAGTATTATCTTATTAAATACATAGAAAGTTGATTAACTTTTATGCAGATTTATTAACGCTTTATTATTTCTTTTTATTTTTTAGGTTGTAGCATTTCTGGACAGCTGAAGCAAGACTAAACATCATCTGTTACATAAAAATGGCAGCCAAAAGCTTCGAAGAAGGAGATCTTGTTTGGGCTAAAATGAAAGGTTTTCCAGCATGGCCGGGCCGTATAGTAGAACCTCCAACAACTGAAACTTCACAGAAGACAAAGAAACATTATGTTTACTTCTTTGGTTCTTCAAATTACGCATGGATAAAGGATAATAACATTGTACCTCATACTGACAGTATGCTGGAGACTGGTGATAAAAAACGTTCAGCTGCATTGCAGCGAGCTGTTGAAGCTCTTTCAGTCTATAATAAAAACAAGGCTAGGAAAGAGACGCCATCCACTCATAAAGCTTCTCAGAGAAATAATCAAATCGAGAAAAATTTTCCTAAAAGTAAGGCACCTCGGCTTGTCAATAATGATTCAAAAAAGCGTATAGGGAAGAAAGTCCAACCTTCCAAAAACGTTAAAGTGATCAAAACGCGTCCGTCAGTTCGTGAATCTGATGACGATGAGTCTTCTTCTAAAAGAAGCAGGCTGAATAATGCTGATGAGTATTCTGCAGGTTTGGCTAGTCTTCCATCCAACATGATACATTCTCCTATTCCCCCCAATGATGATTCTAGCTTGCATCAGTCTGTTTCACTTTTAGATAGACCAGGCTATGTTGAACGACCACCTACTCCTCTTCTGGATATTGAAACTGTTAGTGAAACCTTGAAGATAAAGAATATAAAACCTACAGATAAAAAAATTGGTTTCTTGGGTTTAGGAAAAATTGGTCAAGGAATTGTTAGGAACTTATTACATTCGGGACATCAAGTAACAGTTTGGAATCGAACTCCAGAAAAAGTGGACCATTTTGTAAGAGCTGGTGCACATAGAGGTATGACTCCAACTGATGTTGTTACAGCTTCTGATATAACATTTTGCTGTGTTTCTGATCCAAAAGCAGTAAAAGGTATCGTACTTGGAAATTGCGGTGTAGTGAAAGCTCTAAAAAGTTGCGATGGAAAAAGCTATGTAGAAATGACATCTATTGATCCAGATACTTCTCGCGATATAGCTGAAGCAATAACCTCTAATGGGGGCAAGTATCTTGAAGCCCCAATCATCGGTTCAAAGACAGATGCCGAAGAAGGCACTTTATTTATACTAGCTGCAGGTGATAGATCCTTATTTACAGAATGTGAAACATGTTTTCGTGCAATGGGATGTCATGCTTATTTTGTATCTCATGAAATCCCAAATGGTTCAAAGATAAACCTCATTATTAGCATGCTTCGTGGAACAATATATGGAGCACTGTCAGAAGCTATGCTTCTTGTAGAAAAAGCAAAGCTTTCTCAGGAAGATTTTGTACGATATCTTTCATTCACAAGCTTAAATTGTGAAGCAGTGCTGGAAAAATGTTTTTGTATACTTTTTAGAAATTTTTCAGCTAATACATCTTTGAAATATATGCAGAAAGATTTGGATTTAGCCCTGAGAATGAGTCATAATTTGAATCAACCTGTGCCTGTTGCTGCTGCAGCAAATGAAGTGTATAAGCATGCGAAGGCCCTCAGATACTACGACCATGATGTTTCTGCCGTCTATATGGGTCTAAAATATTAATACTGTAGAATTCAAAGTTGACTGTTACTGCTGTTTATATCCCCGAAGCAGATGATCTTTGCTTTTTATAACGCCCATTGCAAATCATATTTTACAGTTCTCATTAGCGAATATGGATTTTCAATTAAGTGAATTGTTAGACCAATATATTTGTGATATATTTGTTATCATCTAAAGTGATACTAAATCATCAATGAATATTTTAATAATTTTCATCAGTTATTTTTCCTACCCAAAATAAAATCCGCTCTGCATCTGTAACAAAAGTAAAAGTATTCCCTTAGCAGTATTTTACCTTTTTGTACAAAAATATGTCATTGTTAAGTAATTTAGTTATCAAAAAAGTTAATTTCACTAGGTTTATTGCTTGCCATCTGTAAGAATGAAAATTGTAGAGAATAAAGTTAAAAATTATTTGAAGTAGTCCATCTGTTATATATATATATATACCTACACATATACGTTACATGCATATATATCATTGCTTGCCAACTCTTCTTCTTTTACCAAGAGACCCTAGTTCTTTTCATATCTCCTGTTAGATACCAAATCTGCCAATTTAAAATTTTTAGCCTTTGCTTAGGAAAGGGATTGGTTACTGTTTTGAAATTGAATTTTGTTAATTTGTTTTCATTGTTTTTGAAGAAGTATGTATCTTTTAAAATTGTCTCTGAACAAAGATAGCAAACTTACAGATGGGTGAACATTAGTGATTAAGACAATCAAATGATGAATAGGCTGAGATAGAATGTTGATTATATCATTTAATGTATAAAGCCGCCGTAAAAAGATTGTTTGGAATGCATGATACTGAAAAAAGAATTATTGGTAATTGAATTTTTAAAATAATCCGTACCCATAAATTTTGCCATGTAGGTAGAAAAATGTCTTTTATAAATATTTTAAGTTTCAATGAAAAACTGTTGCTTATGCTCCAAAACTTCATCTTGGGTTTATTTAAAAAAAATTTAAATTAACATTAAATTTTTACTGAAGGAAAAGGCTGAATAAGTTTTAATGATCGTGTGTACGCTACCTTTAAAAAAGGGCTTGCCTGTGTCTATCAGACTATAAAAGTCTCCAGTTTTAGTTTGGTAAGTAAGTATAAAATGACGAAGTATAAAAATAATAAAGAAATAATTTTGTTAAAAGCAATATCCTTAAGAATTATGTAAAATTTTAGTCAATTTCCATTTTCTTGAATTAGTAAATATGTTGTTATACTGGAGTTAAGGTTGAAAAATGAAATACGGCTTATATTTAAGATTGAAACTGAAAAAATTTAATTGCTAATATTCGTTAGCGAAATTATTTACTTCATTTAGCTACTTTTACGTATTCACCGCTGTAAAAGGACATCGCACTCTTCCTAATTATATCTACTGTTTTCCCGTACCTAATTGTTATTATGTCCTAATTGTTAATTGATTGTTGCTGGACATTTTGCCATTTTGTCCAACTTTTTTGTAGATCTTATTTTCAAAATCCTTTTCTTTATTAAAACAGTTTTTGCAGAATAGCGTGTATAATAAGTTATTTCTAAAATAGAATACTACATCTTTTGAATATCGTTTACTGAATTTTAGGTAGATGGACTTATTGTATTCAGTAGTTAAACAGTCTTGATCGTTTATTAAATTCTGAACTGTTTCATTCATTTTTTCCGTGCTTACAAAAACCATTTATGTTAATTTGAATAACTTAGAATTTGAAATTCACTTGGTAATATTAATATATATTCAATTGTTTGGATTAGTACTCATGAATAAAAAATATTAGATCTTCATGATCTTTTTCAGTTTCCTCAAAGATTTATTACTTCTATGAGAGTGATATAAACAAGAAAACTGTAATTCTAAATATTAATATTTGTATGGGTTACTACATAAACCAAAACTTTATTTACTTTTTGTTGTTATTTCTCAATATTTGTAGCTTTGAAGGTAGCTATTATGTGTAATATCTTCGTGTTTAATGAATTACGTGTACATTTTCAAAGCCAAATTTTCATCCAACTGTATCCTATAATAAAGGTATAAACAGATATAGTGCAAGTCTATAAATTATTAAAATTTCTTGATAGGCACTATAACCATACCTATTCCATATGGGAACCACAGTCTATGTTAAAATGATTATGTATGGCATCATTATATTGTATATTATTAATTTTTCATGCATTAAAAAGTAAAAAATGAATACTGCCAATCTAATTTATATATTCATATATTTTAAAGGCAAAATGATGTAAATGCACATCAACAATGATCTCAAGTTACTTGGTAAACTATTTTTATCCCCTCCCACCATAATCACCAAGGAGCAGTATACATTTAAATTTTACATTTAGTCTTGTTGCCAGTATGTTTTCATGTTCATTTACATACAGGTATATTTAAATGATTTTGTTTAAAATCATCTCAGTACATACCCAGTATGTAAATCACTGCTTTAGATCATTTAAGTGTACATTAGCTTTTCATCTAAAAAAAATCAGACTTGTCTTTAAGCTTTAAATTTTGTATGCACATTTAAGTTACTTAATGCAATAGTACTGAATGCGACGTAATCAATATTTTTGTTTGATAATAAAGAATTTGGTGTGTGGTATTATTCGTGAAGAATGTGAATCTAATCATTTTAATGAAGGTATAAACAGAAAATGCTCAACCCTCTAAAATAACTTTTATCTTGTTTTCAACCGTCTTTTAATAGAAGGATGATATGTGGGATCACGAGTAGTTGTCCCAGTCAATACTCTGACAACGAGATAAAATATGCTGCGCGCTAGTGACGTACTTGCTTTCACTATTTTATATAGATACATGGGAAGGATTTTATTCAAAGGCTCAATATTTTTGTTGTTTATGAATAATAAGAAAGTACACAAATAAGATTTTATAAATTCTTTGGCCAAAGATAAGGCCAAATATTAAATATAAGTTAATAATATCCGCTGTTAACTAGAAACATTTGCTGCCACTACAATAAACCCGCTTGCTATTAAAAACAATCTCTGCAAAACGTTTAATTATATCTACTCACTTATTTGTAACACATGAAATTTATACAATATATGACAAACCAAGAAGACTCACGTTAAAAAAAAATCTTTTAATTCACAATAAAACTCTTCTTTACATACTACTGTTAAGCTGGAGCATTTTAAAATTCACGATTTTAATAACATTTCAATTCAAGTTTTAGATATGATTCCGAATCTCAAGACTAAGAATCCTTTTATATACATAAGAATATAACGTTGTACCCATACGGGCTTCACACATATCTAATTAAATCGTCTGTAAATTTTAATAATGCTACCTATAGCGAATTTAATATTTTCGAGAGCTGTTAATACACACAGAGTGAGATAAAGTTTACAGAGGTTATATATATAACTTTACAGCAGGTCATGGTTAAGCGAATCACAAACAAGGTACATAAAACAATCAATGAAAAATAACATAAAGAAAATATAAGCAAATAAAATAGGATGAAGTTTCAGAATGCATCGGACGTGACAAAAAGCTATAAATCTTTTTAACCAATATCTCAACACTCCCCCTTAATCGCACATTATAGAAAAGATAGAAAAATTACACACTTTTTAAACAACTCGATGACAATAGTTCATAGATTTTTGTTTCGACAGAGCCTTAGTTAACATATCTGCGATTTGTAAACTTGAATAATAATATTCAATTTTAATATTATTTTCTTTACCAGTCTTACGAGTGAACTTTAATTTTATATCTATATGTTTCAACGTACACTGTAAAAAAAATCTGTAAGGTTACTAAGAAAACTCATTGAAACTGGGATGCCATGGGTTATTTGAGTAACAGAAACATGTGTTTTCTTTGTAACATTACAAGAGTTTTGCCTGTAATGGTTACAGATCTTTTTCTTGTAATATCACAGCATATAGTTATGTAAGTAGAACATATTTTTCTCATGTAAATTCCCAAACGATATATCTGTAATGGTTACAGATTATTTGCGTGTAATATTACAGCAAATAATTATGTAAAAAGGACATGTTTTTCTCATGTAAAATCTCAACAGATATATCTGTAACCGTTACAGGTTATTTTCTTGTATTATTATAGCAAGTTATTAAAAGAGTAGAAGATACTTTTCTTACGTAAAATTCCCTGGTTATTATTTCCTTCTAATATCCCATTAAGTAATTATGTGTGTAGAATATATTTTTTCATAGATAATACTAAAGGATATGTCTATAAAAGTAATAGATTTTTTTGTCTAAAATGATGCTTATTATAATAAAATATACTGAAATCAAGATTTTTTGAGTAAAACAATATCTGCATGTGTATATCATTATACAGATATATGCAAGTGAAGCATAATAGTTTGGCTTTTTAAATTAGTCAATTTGACCTCAGAATAGCATTAATTTAAAAGATGTGCTTTCAACAGCAATGTTCTTTTTCAAAAAAGTAACATTAGTCTGTTGCAGAGTATTTTTGTTTTATGAAGAGAAACTTATGTCTGATATTATTGAAAGGCCTTTCATATTATCATTTTGATTAATTTAAAAGTTCAAATTGATATGCTACTCCTTATATTTGCCCTGTAAAATAGCTGAAAAAAATAGTATGTTTTATTTGCATGTTTTAGTGTCAGTTAATAAGATATGTTCTAGAACTTTCTTTTTAGTAATTTTAGCTAAAATAGACACATGTTGCTTTAGATTTAACTTATATGAGTAAACGTGTTGCATGTTGATATGATCATATTATTACAGTAAAAGACATTTTGTGAAATATTTCTATGAAGAACTCAGAACAGCTGTTCTTCATATTTCAAAAATATATTCTCTCCTTCTAAAAAATGACATTTTCAGTAAATTAAAGAATTCAACATAGCAATGAACTTCATTTTGTTACTACAAGGAATTCAAAATTTTGTTCATACGCTTGAATTACAACGTCTAACTAATCTTTTTTATTCTTATCTGCACTCAGTGTTTGTCAACAGTCTGCTATTGTTTGAAATAATAGGTGGTAAATGCATAACTTTTTTTACTTACCTTCAAATAATTTCCTTTGAATTAACAGATAGAAGTCTTTCATTAAAAACCTAATGTCATGCTTTTTGAATAAGCATAAAACTTTGCCAACTGACCTTAATTTTTAAAGCCTTGTTTCCCTTAAAATTCTTAATACAATTATGCCTTTAAGAAATTTATTTCTAAAATTAATACTTCAGTTTAGCTTAAAATTTAATGCATTTTAATTTTACCTATAATTTTTTACAAACATGATATGTAATAAATCTAAGCTTAATATTTACCATTTCGAAAGTGATACTAAAAAAGTATTCCTAGTTATTATAAATTTCGAGATTCGCATACAA